CTATCTCCAGGCCTTAGGGGAGGGACACATCCGATTCAAGTCATTTGGAGCCCTGAACCAGCCGCGTCGGCCCCAAGGTCGCGGCTAAAAAGTTACTTACCGTAACACGTATCATACTAAATCGAGTCAACATAGATCATCCGTCTATTCAAACTCTTGTTTTCTATCACACAAATCTTGTTAGATACTATTTGTTAGTGTAAACAACTTTATGCTGTGGCGTCGGGGCCAACGCGGCTCGGTTCGGGTCCGGAAGGCGGGATCTTCCCAGTGCCCCTCGAGTTCGCCGAGATGGTCGGCTGCGGCGGTCCGATCAGGACGGGGTCAGTTGTCTCCGCCGGTATGGGCCTCCTCGGCTTGGCACGCGTTCCGTCTGCGGTCCTGCACACAGGTCGGGTCGGGAGATGCAACCCGACCCCTCCGACGATCAAGTCAATAGATGGTGGAGGGGGTGGAAAGAAGAAGAATTTGAGGTGTCTTCCCTGGTGTGTTCTTCCCTCCGTTCTTCCCCTTCGGTCCCCCCCCCTCTGCTCGTTCAGAGCGTGAGGGTATTTATAGGGAAGCTTGCTGTTGTTTGATGTGCCCGCTTGCAGGGGCAGATGGTGGCGTCTGACATTGGTTTGGCGTGGCGTGAAGAGCCGAGCCTGAGCGGGTGTTAATGCGCCTCGGGCTGTGTTTTGATCAGTTTGATCGGGTACCGTTGCGTTGACCGAGGTGTGAGGCGCGGGTCAGCCAAGTCTTATCGTAATTAATATCCTCATCACTATTCAATCATGATTTTTGTACATATCAACTATTCAACGGATATCCGAATCTATCATTTAGTCCTATCAAATTTATTATACATAATATCTTAAACTGAGTCAGATTGATTCGAACATCACCGATGACCATTACATCATCACCATTTAAACAGAATCGTACAACATTCTTAGTTATCTCTTTGAGCCCTGCATTCAGATTGAGGCACAGCACTCGTAATCCACGTTTTGTCAAATGAACGATAGATGGATGGTCAAAGTAGAACACTGATATGAAACGTGAATTATAAACATCCTCTTGAATACACATGAATATTGAGGCACAACACTCGTATCGCCCGTTTCTCTCACTATCGCATCTTTTCACGGCAAATTAACTCCGAATCTAATATTCACGTGAATACACATGCAACCATAGCCATAGCGTGTATCCAAGTTATAAACATCCTCTTTTAACACGTATTATGCATTGTAGTGTCCTCGTGAGGCACACATCTTGAAAGTTCCAATAGTCAACGTTCCCCGTTTCAAGTCGTCCGTTATCCTTTATAGATAGTCCCTTCTATTTACCAGTAGAACCTCCGCAGCTCTTACACCGCGAGTAACATCTCTCTCTCTCTCTCTCTCTCTCTCTCTCTCGCGCGCGCGCGCACACACACACACACACACGCACAGGGGATATGGCCAACACTATGCCTTGTCTCCTTGGCAACCCCCTCCTGAAGCCCGGTGTGAGGAATGGTCATATGTCTGCGACTCGCCGATTCGTCGAGGTGAGATGCGTTCCCGCCCGGCCGGACATCGGACTCAACAAGAAGGACATGGGTGCGGGAATCGAGACGTTCAACTTGAAGGTGTACATGGCCGATAAGGCCCGGCTGGTGAACGAGGCCCTGGACATGGCCGTTCCCCTCCGCTACCCCCATAAGATCCACGAGTCCATGCGCTACACCCTCCTCGCCGGCGGCAAACGCGTCCGCCCCATCCTCGCCCTCGCCTCTTGCGAGCTCGTGGGCGGCGACGAGAGCGTCGCGGTCCCAGTGGCTTGCGCCACCGAGATGATCCACGCCATGTCCCTCATCCACGACGACCTTCCCTGCATGGACAACGACGACCTTCGCCGGGGCCAGCCCACCAACCACCGAGCCTTCGGCGAGGACACCGCCATCCTCGCCGGCGACGCCCTCCTCTCCCTGGCTTTCGAGCACGTCGCGGCGCGCACCACCGGCGTGCCGGCCGAGAGGGTCCTCTGGGCTGTCTCGGAGCTCGGGTCCACCGTGGGGTCGCAGGGGCTAGTCGGGGGCCAGATCGTTGATATCGCGAGCGAGGGGAAGGAGGTGGACCTCGAGGTGCTGGAGTACATCCACACCCACAAGACGGCGCGGCTTCTCGAAGCGGCGGCCGTGTGCGGGGCCATCGTGGGCGGCGGTGGAGACGCCGAGGTGGAGAGAATCCGGAGATACGCGCGCTGCGTCGGGCTGCTCTTCCAGGTGGTGGACGACATCCTGGACGTAACGAAGACGTCGGAGGAGCTCGGCAAGACGGCGGGGAAGGACCAGGCGAGAGACAAGACAACGTACCCCAAGCTGCTTGGCCTCGACAAGGCCCGGGAGTTCGCGCAGACGCTGATGCGCAAGGCGATGGACGAACTCGCGGGGTTCGAACGCCTCCGTGCCGCGCCGCTCTATCATCTCGCCCACGACATAGCCAACCGGCACAACTGAGGCGGATACTGTCACATCGATGCCACGTTTACGATACAACGAAGGGATTGTGTACGTCCGAACCTTCTATCGCAAATAGTTAATTTAAATAGTTATGGTTTGACGTAATAAAAGATGATATTTGTTGTGATTTAGATTAAGATAAATAAATAAGCGATTGGGTTTTTAGTATTTGTTGTGGGAAACAACTTTGAGCCGTGGCCTCGGGGCCGACGTGGCTCGGTTCGGGTCCGGACGACGGGGATCTCCCTGGGACGTTCCTCGAGCCCGCTGAGGCGGTCGGGTGCGGCGTCCGATCGAGACGGTGTGGCCGTCTCCTCCGGGCATGAACTCCTCGCTTACGCGTCCGGTGGGGACCTTCGGCTTCGCACCTGCACAAAGGTCGGGCCGGGATGCTCGGCCCGACCCCTCCGACGATTAAGTTAGCAGATGTGGAGGGGGTTTCATATGAAGAAGTGTTTTTGTGTGTCTGTCTCTCCCTCTCTCTCTCTCTGATGAACAAAAGGGTATTTATAGGGAAGCTTACTGCTTCCTGAGCTGCCCGCTTGCAGGGGGGCAGGCTGGTAGCGTCTGACTTTGTGTTGGCGTGGCGTGAAAAATTGAGCTTTGGCAGGACGTTAATGCGCCTCAGTCGACGTTCCGGTCTACATTGACCAGGTGTTGTTGTGTGAGGCATCATATGACGTCAGCCGAGTCTTATCCTAATTACTATCCTCATCAGTAAGTAATGAGAAGGTTTGTGGGGTTATCAATTATTATTTTTTATATTTAAAAATTATAATTTTTTTTTGCTATTATAAATAGTAGTTTTTAGGTAAATCTAATACACTGTAAATTAAAGTTACTTTTTGCTTCTTCTATTTTTTTTTTCCTAAAATTTTAGGATAAAACCAAGTTTTGAAAAGGAATGTGAAGGTGATGTGATATATTTTTTTTTAGAAAATCAAATTCATACTGATTATAAGTTATTTTTTATATTTAGTATCTCAATCTTATATTTTTCAAAAGTTATATTGATATTTATACTTACGAAAGTAAAATATTTAATTTATAAAATTATTTTTTAATCTCGTATAAGGAATCTTAATAATTTATTTTTATAAATATAAAAATTTTAATTAATCTTTAAAGTATAGATTTAAATATGAAAAATAATTAATTATAATTAATAATACGTAATTACGGTGGATGACGATCAACAATGTCGGCCTCCAATGCTGCAGCGGTCTTCCAACCGATGTGCAAAGAGCCACCAACACAAACACCACGAGAAGATGACAGCATCGGGCTGCTCGGTTGATGCCTTCCATGTCGTTTCCACTCCAAAACACTCCTTCACAAGATGCCCTATACATCACTGTATATGGGCCCAATTGCTCTCGCTCGGCACCCCACCGTTCACCACGAACACCATATAATACCCTGAAGGCGCCAAAATGGCCGATGCCGGCGCCATCGCCATCACTTGATAGGTGCCGCTGTCGGCCGCCTTCGCCGCCGCCTCCGTCTCCAGAACAAGCAGCCTCTGGTTCATCGAGAACGAGTGCGTCGCGAAGGACGGCGCAACCATCGTCACCCGGACTCCTTCGTCGCCCACCGCCCCGGCCGTGAACTGTAAGCTGAATCGTTTCCCGTAGCTCAGCCGAAGCGGAGATGGCGAGGTGACGATACGCGGCCGTCGTGCCGAGTGCGCTGGGCTCAGGTAGGCTGGAGAGAAGGCCTCCAAGCTGAGCTCGGTCGGGAACTCGACGCCGGAGAAGTTGTAGTTGACGTTGGGGTTGCTCCCGCCGACGAGCACCCTGCCGTCGCGCAGCAGTACCGCGGTGGAATGGTAGAGGCGGGGCGTCGTGGAGGGGCTCTGGATGTCGAAACGGGCGCCGGCGGGCCTCTCGGGGCGGTAGACGACGGGCGTCAGCACCGGGTCCCGGGCGAGCTCCCACCCGGCGGTCCCTGCCGCCGCGCCGTTGATCATAAGTACTTCGCCGCTGGGCAGCAGCACCATGTCCCCCATGACCCTCGGCACGGGCATCGTCTCCATGGACCAGGACGCGGCGGCTTCCGTGATCTTAATCCTCCCACACGTGTCCAGCGCCCGAACGAAGCCCCTGCTCTGCAACGCTTGCACGTACGAACCCATCGGTGCTCCGCCGCATATCAACACCTCGGCCTCCTTCGGCGACGGTTTCAGCGGCAGCAGAACCGACGATCCGGTGCTCGGGTAGTTCCTGGGTTCGCCGCCGGGCATTTTCGGGTAAGTCTTCACCACGGTGTTCTTCGTGTAGTCGAGCAGGATGGCACGGTTGTTGGCGAAAACGAAGAGGTTGCCGTCGATGTTGAGGTGGACGAACGGATAGAGATTGTTCTCTACGGCGTCCCTGGTGTCTCGGAGGAAGGGTAAAGCAATGGTGCGCAGGTCGGAAGCATCCGGCGATTTGGGATAGAACTCGTAGTTGAATTGGCGTCGGCCTCCGACGACGATCGCCCGGCCGTCAGGGAGGATCTGGTTGGTGGCGTACCACCGGCGTACGGCGAGAGCCTGTGGGACCTCGACCCAGTTGCAGCGGCAGTCGTCGCAGGGGCGGAACGTGCGAGAGGCGCGCTCGCCGTCGTTGAAGCCGCCGGTCTGGACGAGGGTGCCGTCCGGGGCGACGGTGCCGGAGGAGCACCAGGCGTCGGTCAAGAGCATGAGCGGGCGGAAGGTGTTGGCGGCCACGTCGTACTCGACGGAATGCGCGGTGCAGTCGACCCGGAGAGCCTTCTCGTCGGGGTCGTTGCGGCATTTGCCGACGGGAAGGGAGAGGTTGGAGGGGCCGAAGTCGGTGCGGTCGAAGACGACGACGCGGTCGTTGTGCAAGAGCTGCATGTGCATGGCGGAGACGCCGATGCTGCGCTGGAGGAGCGCCCATTGCCCACCACCGGCGGCAGTGGCAGCCACCACAGTTTCCAGGAGGAGGAAGATGAGCTTAGTGTGGTCCATGATTGATGTCATTGCTGATCCGCCAGTACCGCTGTGCTCTCCTGTCATTTATAGAGCTCATGGGGAGGTGTCGTGGGAAACAGCCTTGAGTCGTGGCCTTGGGGTCGACGCGATTCGGTTCGGGTCCGGACGACAGGGATCTCCCTGGGGCATTCCTCGAGCCTGCCGAGGTGGTCGGGTGCGGTGTCCGATCGGGACGGGGTCGCCTTTTCCTCCGGGTAGGAACTCCTCGCTTGCGCGTCCGGCGGGGACCTTTGGCTTCGCACCTGCACAAAGGTCAGGCCGGGGTGCTCGGCCCGAACCCTCCGACGATCAAGTCAGATGATGTGAAGGGGGTTTTAGATGAAGAAATCTTTTTTGTGTGTCTGTTTCCTTCTCCCCTTCTCTCCTCCCTCTCCTGATGAACGAGAGGGTATTTATGGGGAAGCTTACTGCTTCTTGAGCC